CGGCGGAGGAGGGGCGGGGTCCGAGAAGGGGCGGAGGCCGGGCCCCGCCCCCGCGGGCCGCTGGAAAAGTTTGCGGTCTGAGTCGCGCCAGCGCAGGCTGAGCGAGCCGGTCCGGGGACACGCGGCAGGACGAGCTCGGGCGAGGCCCCAGGCCCGGGAACGACTTCCCGAGCCCCGAGACCGCGGGCTCCCTGTCCAGCTGGCGTCTGGGCCGAGGAAGGGGCATCCCGGCAGCGCCGCGCGCCAGCCGTCAGCATGCGGGTGGCGCAAGTGCCGTTCCCAGACTGAGGTGAGCCGGCGGAGTCGGGTCGGGGCGCGCGCACGCCCGGGGTCGGCTAGGGGACACTGGGCCCAGTTTTCTTACAGAACTGCACCTGGTCCCGGCGTGCCGGTGCGCGCCTGCCGCCCGAGCGCGCCACATCAGCACCCCCACCCCAGGCCATCTATTCCGGTGACCGAGACACGCAGGAGCAGAGGGGGATGATTGCCTTTAACTACAGTTGGAGCGTTTAAAACGAGCTGGGTGTGAATAACCAGAATGAGAGTGAAGAGGCTCTCCCTGGAGACGTCCTATCAGCCGGCTTCTCGGACAGTTGCAAAGTTCGGCGCCCTCCCAGGACGAGGGCTGGGGAGCGCTCGGGGTGGCGAGACGGCTGGGGTCGTGCGCCTGGAAAAATCATTCTTTTAACTACCTTAGCGACAACACTGCGTTCTTCCTTACATTTCTCAAACAAGGCACTTAGAGCTGTCACAACCCGGGCTGCAAGACAAAGCCCCCGCAATGCAGTAATGAGGTTCCCACGGAAAAAAAAAAAAGTGTATTGCGTACCACCCAGTGTCCGAACGCTGTCTTTCTCTTTCTGGCTCTGGACACTCCCAATGGCATGTTTCTTGGCGGTGTTTTTATATTTAGATATAAGAGACGGAGTTCTTGTTGGAATTTTAAAGGAAACACACTTCGTTTTGAACATTACAATAAAGAAAGAGTAGCAGCATGAACAGAGGGCTCTTCCGGAAGATTCTGTTTAAAATGGAAGGTCCACCCTGTACATAGTGCCCACTCCTAGCCAGAGTGCTGAGACTTCCAGAATTACGCGTCTTTCCATTAGAAGTCATAGATATTGTATGTGATCATGAGCTCGTAATTTATCTTTTCAACATTTTTTTTCTTCAGACATGAAAATCTTGCTGGCATGGTTAAGAAAAATATAATTCCTAGAAAGTCCAAGGGAAGGATTATTATGTTCTGCAGGTATATGACTAGCAGGGATGGCCATGCCCAGGGCTGGTGTTGGTGTAGGAGGTGGTGGTGGTGGTGGTGGTGTGTGTGTGTGTTAAGAAAAATATAATTCCTAGAAAGTCCAAGGGAAGGATTATTATGTTCTGCAGGTATATAACTAGCAGGGATGGCCATGCCCAGGGCTGGTGTTGGTGTAGGAGGTGGTGGTGGTGGTGGTGTGTGTGTGTGTAGTGCTTGAGGAGTTATGGAAGTGTCTGAATCTGTAGGGTTTTCTACTTAATCGGTGCAGAGCTCAATGCTAGGATGAATAATTTTGTTGCCGTAGAAGAGCCACATAGTGGGTTTTCTCAGTCAATAAACCAGTAAATGCTCACAGTGGACCTACTAAGTAGCTCCCGTCACCTGATATCAGAGATATAAACTACAAAGCCATCCCTTAAGAGAGAATAATTTCTCAGCCAGTTTTCATCTTTGAAAAATGTCATTTTCCTTTTTACATTTGTGCATTTTTTGAGTGCATTACTCTCCTCATCATTTTCTACCATATGGGGATGGTAGAAACTCCCATTTCCTGGAGAAAAAACTTTATATATTGGCCTAATGACCTTATTTCTCTAAATCCAGGCTGATTTTACTCTTTCTGAAAATTATGACACTAGTTTGATTCCATGGCATCTCTTCCGTTTTCCTCAATACCTACACTGTATATATTTTTATTACAGAGAAAATGAGAATTTGAGCATGCCACAATCTTGACAAATTTGGGGTTTCCCTGCACCTTTTAACTGCCAGAACTTTGTATTGTGCTCCGAGTGCTGCGGAAGCCGAGGAGCCACCCTAAGCAGTCTGTTTACATTCAGCGGAACCACAGTGCTGCGGGCTTCTTGAGCCTTTCTGTGTCTTCACATTTGCTTTTACAGCTCCTTATCAATTTTGGAGCCGTTTCCTATTATTCCTTTACCATACACTTTCTGTTGAATTAATTGCCTTAAGAATTTTTCCATAAGCTTTTGGAGATCATATGATGTTTGAGTGGAATCCTGTCTAGTTTCAGTGAATCATCCATTTTAGTTACTGTTATTGTTGCAGCTACTGGGCATAAAGTCTCCTTTTTTTTATTCCATTTTTGAGAAATTGAAGCTGTGCCTATAAGAGGCAAAGCAATAAGCCAGTGAAAAGATTGCTCAGTGGAGAGTGTGGTCCCAGTGGGAGGATTGTCACTGTCAGTGAATTGCACTGGTGTCAGGTCAGCGCAGTGAGCTGGACTGAGGGTCCTGAGTCAGTCGACCATGCTCTTTGGCCTTGAAAGTGCTGCTCCATTTCCCTGGCTTCAAACTTTTCCAGATACCTCAGTAAGCCCCCAGAATAGCATTCTGAAATTGTGCTAGCACAGCAGCTAGAAGCGAGTTGGCTCTAAAGCATGCTGGAGACGCTCTTGTCACCACTCAGGTAAAGAACAAGTGGAAAGGTGTCAGCCTCCCAAAAAGCATATTCCTGATTTGGTACACCGGAATCTGACATCTTCCAAGCTCTGGGACTAAGGACAGATGACCACCGCCACCCTAGCCTCAGTTTCTCTCTGTGTGCATTCAGAAGGCAGATGCTGCCACAGGGACTCATGTGATTCATCCAAGGTGCAAGGTGGCACATGTGCTGTGGCACCAAGTCAGTGCATTGCTTTGGGAAAGGATGGGAGGGACCACAGTTAGACTTCTTTGTCAGGATGCGTCTTCTTTGCCTGTCTTTAGCGGCCTCGCAGAGCCTGTTTTTACACACCTGCATTCATCCTGTGGGAAGCTTAGTAGTAATTCATTCCTATGCCTTTACCATGACCAAGCAGAGGAGAGAAAGTGTGAAAAGACTGACAGAAGCAACAAGGGTAAAAACCTCTAGTATCAAATGCAGTTGCCTTCCCATGGACAACTCCAGCAGCCCAGGAGGACTTTCACCCAGACAGACACTCGGGTGGCACCCACAGTTCCTGTGGCACAACCTATCTGGGGCTCCCTAGACTGTGCCCAGATCTGTAATAGCATCTGAGCTTTATTTGCTAAAGAGAGAGACTTGTAGAAAAAACACTGGAAAGCCGAAAGACCGAACAGAGAAGCAAATTCGCTCCCATTCTCTGCAGAAGAGGGGGAAGCTGTGAAAACCCTCCCTGGTTTGTCCGTAACATTTGCTTTCTTACGGGGGAGCTCCATCAACGGGCTGAGATCCGAGTGTCAGGCACGCGTGTCTGTGTGTGCAGCAGGCAGTTCGCGATGGACTATCCCTGCAAGCAGAGTCAGGCCCCCTGCGAAGTCCCCAAGAAGGGAAAATACTCATTAGCCAAGGAATTTTGCTGGAGCCGTGAAATGGCCAACTCATTTTCCTTTCTAAATTCTTTTAAATGGAGAAGAAAAAAAAATCTTGCTTTCCAAGAAATTTTGCTTGTTGGCAAATGCTTGGTGTTTAAATTCAGTTTAGAGGATGAATTAGTTGATTTCCCTGGGAGGCGTTGCCTTTTAAAAATGCAGCATCCTACATCTGACCAGGGGAAAGTTATCACTGTCTTATTGTGCTTTTTCTTTATGTCATTAGAAAGAGAGATCAGACTTTGTGGAAATATTTGCCTTTCCTTTTTTTCCCCTTTTCCTTCTTTTTATAGTTTGTTTATTTTTCAAAGTGACGTGTGGAGAAAGTGAATCGCTAGCGTAGACAGCACATCTGGAATCCATCCGGTCTGCTCTCCCAGCGCTCCCACCCCTCTTTCCCGCGGATGCGCCCCTCGGGCTGGGGGAAGGTAGACATCTCTGACATTGGCAGGGTCTAACTGCTTGGGGTCATCTACAGCAGAATCATTCTGTAGCCAGTGTCTTAGTGCTTTTTGGTGAAAGGAAAAAGTGTTGGTGTTAAAAGGCTTTGAGGCAGACCGGATATCCCAGCTTAATGAGGATGAGGTGCAGACTCCTAGGTAAGTCTTCACCGAGTAGAACTAAGAGAAGCTCAGATGAGAGCAGTGTCTCACTGAACAGAATGACTGAAGAGGCAGACAGACAGTCAAGTACTCTGGGGTCAGGGCGACTTGTTAGTGCAGCCCTTGGAAGTGAGTGCTTTGTGCCCTTGTCCAGGTGAGAATCTGCCAAGGGGTTGGGCCACCATGGGCATCAGTAGTGGTTAGAAGACCACCACTAATCAGAAAGAGTGTCTACGCTGGAGCTTGTCCGTACTCCTGTGTCTTCTGTAATGTGCCCCAGCTTTCTGAGTATGTACAAAACTAGTCTGCCCATAGCCACATTTCTCAGCATTGGGCTCAATTTTTTAAGTGTTCAGGCAGAAATTAAGCAGCAATCAAATGTACAGTATTACTGCCACCCCCAGGTGTGCTTACATTTTAAAATAAAGCAAAATGTGAGCATTTGTACTGTGTCCATCTTGCCCTCTGTGGGGGGCCACCCCTGCTCCCCACAACACCAGTTTTGCAGGATGGGCTGGCCAAGCATTTGTGAGTGCCCACTGCCCGAGAACGCCAGCACTCCTAGTGCCTCAGTAGTGACAGCACTGATACCGCAGAGAGGTGGATGCCTCCTCCTTGCCCCAAGCAGGGCTCGAGGACTCCAGGAGACTCGGTGGGGGTGGGGGTCGGGAGTGAGGGCAGAGCTTTCTTCCTGTGAACTTGAGATCTACAGCTGGCATCCCTCAGGAGAGGAAGGGAAAACTTGTCCATGAGATGCTTTTGACCATGCACGATAATGTTTAGACGCATCATCCAAAATCAATGTGGCCTTTAGCTCAGCACTTAACTCTCAGGGTGGGGCCTGCTTTGTAAATGTTGATAATCCAGAGAAAATAAGGTTTTAGATTCCAGTGACAACCGGGTACCTTCCAGTTATGAAAATGTGGAGAGTCGTATTTAACAAAAGATGTTCTGGAAAAATATGCTCCTTGAGAGATGAATATTTAATTTAGGGAAACAATAAATCAAGCATTAATGGGAAAATATGCTGGCTTTCCAGATTCATGGTTTCAATGGATCTCTGGTGCATCTTATACTATTTTTATTGTGGTTTTTACTGCTGGTTATTAGCTTTTAATCATTTGATTATTTTTTGCTCTGCTCAGTTTTATATGCAGGGGGAAAGAAAAAGAAAAAGATGTGAGCCTGCGGACCCCCCCGCCCCACCAGCCCTCTACTCCAGAGAGCATGTCCAGATCTGGCCATTGTAAAGGGACTCGCTTCCCTCCCACCCAGGCTGTGGGCAAGATCAGAGGTGTGGGGAACATTCAGGGGTGCCTCCAGGCGTACGAAGTGGTGGTGACGGGCTCTTTTGGGGGAGAGTGAGGCACAGGCGACAAGCTGAGTTAGTGCAAGAACAATCTGGATTATAAAAATATAACAGAGCTACCTAAAAGGACGAGGAGGGTGGAGCCACACTTGAACCCACCTGAGCTGGGGAGAAGGGGCCTCAGGCACTGGCACTGGCACCATGGCTTGTCTGCAGCTGGTCAGTTTCTGGGATAGAAATCCTCGTGGTGGAGCAGATGTCCCAGGGACCTCTTGAGATTAATCCAGCACGGTGGTGTCGTGGACAGCACAGCTGGCTGCCCAGCATGGGGACGTGTGAAGGTCCTCCGTTCAGCAGTGGTGGTGGCGCCTCCCAAGCTGCTGCAGGAGGAAACAGCGCTCTCTGGACATTGCTCATGCCCGGCTCCTTTCCTGCCTTTGCTCTGGGCCTTTCCCATGAACAGGGACACCCATGGTGCAGTTCACGGCATGTCGCGTGGAGATGGCAGAGCCCTCCCGCTGGTCAGCGGTGCTGTGCACTGGTGTTGGAGGTGCTGGGTCAGCCAAAGGCCAGGTTCTCCTCATGCCTGCAGCCTCACAACAGCACGTGTCCACATCCACAAGACACCCCTTAGTGGGGATGAAAATTGAACAAAGTGAGGGCGTGGAAATAGTGATTCTCCAGTCATTGCTCACAGATAAAGAAATAACTAGATGAGCGGTGGTGGAGGGCACAAGTGTCTTTGAGCACCTGGTAATGCACAAGGGGCTGGGAAGATGCTGTGAACTTCACCACGTTGTTGACTGCGTGAAGCAAGAGAGTCCAGGCAGAGCAACCGTGTGCTCGTGGGTACGTGGTCAGTGTTCAGAAAGTGTCAGCTGCTTCTTAAGAAGACAGCCTGCAATTTCTTTCAAAAAGTGATAGGCAGCCTCCGAGGATCATCACCAGGGGCCAGGCTGACTCCAGACAGTGTTAGAGAGCAGGTAGAATTTGGCTTGGAATTTGAAGAACGGACAAGATTTAAATAGAAATCAGGAGGGGCCAGAGTGAGAGGGAGCTGGTCTGCTAATGAGGCCACAGTCTTGCCCGGGTCTTGGTCCAATGGGGTAGGGAGCTGGGCTGGCCAAGGTCAGGGAAGGCAGGCCCAGGCCCTGTGCTGCCTGCCATGGCTGGTGAGTCACCATGACTGGGTGTGCAACCCCCCGCCTGTCCTTCTCCATCTGCCCAACCTCAGAACTTGGCTGCTTTTCCTTTCTGAAGTTAGAACAAGGCCTTGGCTAACAAGCTGACCTCGACCCAAGCCCTCTGTGATCTCAGACAGCTCTCACGGAGGGGCTGGGAAGGGTCAGAGAGCAGTTCCACAGACGTCAGCTCAGACAGCCCCTGGGGTTTCCAGAACCACCACCACTTCTAAGCTCCTGGACACTGGAAGAAATCTCTGCAAAGAAGCAATGGGCCATTTTTCTCCGATCTCCGAAAATCCAAGTCCCCCAAACCAACGTAGGACAGGAAGGGCTTTGACGGCATCCGTGGTTCCTGGAGAGTTGTGAGGGTGCACAACCATTTGGAGCCTCTTCTACTCGTTAGTCCCAGCACTAGCCCCTGGATCCTTCAAGGGACTGAGGCCTCGCTGGGCCTTGATCCGTACCTGGGAATGAACTCAGGAGTAGAGGAGCCCTGTGTCATTGGAGAGTGTCCATGTGTCTCAACCAAATTTAGGACTATGGCTTAAACATGAAAGTAAAAAACAAAACAAAGCAAAAAACTTCACTGTATTCACACAGTGGGCTGTTTTAAATTAACCTCATTTAATCTTAATTATATATTTACATACTTAAATATTTTAATTTAAAATAAATGAGTGCACCAACAGCAACTTCTGCCGAGATGATTGGGTCTGCTTCGTCATCAACGTCACAGGAACCCTATCAATGTCACCTACGGGGGGCGGGTGGAGGAAGGATTAGAACTCAGGACCCCTCGAGGGCCGGGGCTGGGGTTTGCTGCCTCTACCCTCTCATAGTGCTCCCAGATTTGTTGCCTCACATGCATGGATTTAGTGATATCTAATGTTTAGGCCTCTGCATTTTAAGCCAGACTCAAGGTGCATGTGATTTTCATTGCTTCTCTGTCTCCCTTTAACCTCAGTAGAAGTTTGCTCCATTTTCACAGGTTTGAATTCCTTCTCACCCAGCTCCGAGCTCGGCTGCCCACCAGTGAGGTGGCCGTGGACCATGCCCAGCCTCGGGCTGTTCCTCCTTCAGTGGCTCTGCCAGGCAGACCGAGGGCCCATCCAAACCCGATTTCTGGCCCTAGCTCTGGCCCCAGGGGAGGCTGTCTGTGAAGGATGGGTGCTTCCCACTATGTCGCTCCAAAACTCATCAGGGAGATCTTGGAAATCAGGCAGGCCTCATTCCGATTCCATCCTGGTTTTTGGTCCTGAGAAAATCCTGAAACTGGGAATAATGGTTTACCAGCTCCTGTGAAGTATGTGAGGACTGTCCGGTGAGCATTTCCTTGTGCTTTCAGATTTCTAGATGGAAGTTTTATTGGGGTCTGTCTGTCTTCCTTACACGATTGAATGCTCCGTGCACTGAAGTTCCCTTCCCAGCATCTCCAGACACCAAATCGCTTTCCATGGTCTCTCAGTCACTTAGGAACTTGGCCTGTGTTTAAAGATCCTCTCTGCAGCCCTGACCTGAGCAGGCCTCCAGACACTCCCGCAGTTTTCAGGCCCTTTGGCGAAGCCTCTGTTGCTGTGGCTTCTTAGCTGGAATTCGCTTTCTCAGTGGCGCCCCTCCTTGTGTTTTTGTGCAGGAGCCTGCTTCCGACACCCTCGCTGGAGTCTGGCTTATGTGCCTCCCTGAAGCCAGAGCTGCCTGCGGTCATCGTTTGCTCCTGAAATGGACGTTCCTCGGGCGCCCTCTGGTGGAGTGCGGCGCTAACCGTCCGTGAATGAGGAGTGATGGCCACCGCCCTGCCGCCGGGCTCGCCGCCTGCCCCGGGGAACGAGACCCTGCGGCAGCATTACCACTATGTGGGGAAGCTGGCAGGCAGGCTGAAGGAGGCCTCCGAGGGCAGCACGCTCACCACCGCCCTCTTCCTGGTCATCTGCAGCTTCATCGTCTTGGAGAACCTGATGGTTTTGATTGCCATCTGGAAAAACAATAAGTTTCACAACCGCATGTACTTTTTCATCGGCAACCTGGCTCTCTGCGACCTGCTGGCCGGCATCGCCTACACGGTCAACATTCTGATGTCCGGCAAGAAGACGTTCAGCCTGTCTCCCACGGTGTGGTTCGTGAGGGAGGGCAGCATGTTCGTGGCGCTCGGGGCGTCCACCTGCAGCTTGCTGGCCATCGCCATCGAGCGGCACTTGACCATGATCAAGATGAGGCCCTACGACGCCAACAAGAAGCACCGTGTTTTCCTCCTGATCGGGATGTGCTGGCTCATCGCCTTCTCGCTGGGCGCCCTCCCCATCCTGGGCTGGAACTGCCTGCACAATCTCCCCGACTGCTCCACCATCCTGCCCCTCTACTCCAAATGGTACATCGCCTTCTGCATCAGCATCTTCATCGCCATCCTGATGACCATCGTGATCCTCTATGCGCGCATCTACTTCCTGGTCAAATCCAGCAGCCGCAAGGTGGCCAACCACAACACCTCCGAGCGGTCCATGGCGCTGCTGCGGACCGTGGTGATCGTTGTGAGCGTCTTCATCGCCTGCTGGGCTCCGCTCTTCCTCCTCTTCCTCACTGACGTGGCCTGCAGGGTGAAGGAGTGCCCCGTCCTGTTCAAGGCGCAGTGGTTCATCGTGCTGGCTGTGCTCAACTCTGCCATGAACCCTGTCATCTACACGCTTGCCAGCAAGGAGATGCGGCGGGCCTTCTTCCGCCTGGTCTGCACCTGCCTGGTCCGGGGCTGGGGGGCCCGCTCCCCTCCCATCCAGCCCACTCTCGACCCTAACAGAAGCAAGTCGAGCAGCAGCAACAGCAGCAGCCACTCCCCCAAGGTCAAGGAAGACCTGCCCCACTCAGCCACCTCGTCCTGCATCATCAACAAAAACAAAACCCTGCAGAACGGGATCCTCTGTAAGTGAGCACCTCCACGCGTCCCCCTCTGCAGCTACGTTCTTATTTATTGCATGCGTGCTGTGACTTGGGAGACCCACTTTATTTTGCCCAACAGCCTGCCCCGTGTGGATGTCTCTGAAGGAAGGGACCCAAGGGGTCGCCAACCCATTTCGTGTAGACAACGTGCCTTGTCCTTTTCGTGCTCTAGGGTCTTCTGAATGTACTAAGCCGCTGACATCATCCGCTGCCTTCCACTGAGTCCCCGATGCTGCTCTTCGTTGTTCACGGAGAGGGAAGGTCGTGGGCCACACAGTACACAGTGTGGTCCTCAGTGTGTCTTTGGATGATGTTCTGATAACTTTACACTACATTGATGGTGCATAAAATGGACCCCTGTGTAGTTGTACATGTCTTACACACAATTTGTGTTCCAACTGTTTGCCATGTGGTACCTACATAAAGTCACAGTATACCATACAGTTACGAAGCAGTTATACATGTACGTTCCGATGGAACCACCAGCTACAAGGACATGGTTGTGAGGTAGGTAGACATGCCATTCCCAGGCTCCTCAGACTATATCTCCTGTGAAGCAAGTTTTTAAGGCCCAAATTCCTGAAAAGGGCTTGTCTAAGGCTGGCCCCAGATGTGTGGGTCTGGCCCAAACCAGCCCTGTGTCCCTTCAGTCGTATGTACCTGCATAATTTTAAGCACACCCAAAAGCCAAATCATGGGATTATTGGGAGGTTTCTGCAAATCACAGAAAAGCCAGCCAAGATCTCTCAGGAGCCTGCGCCCCCAGACCAACCAAGAAAGAACCACAAGGGGGAAGCAGGTGGACCGCTGGCCTGACCTACCTGCCCAGGTCTCCAGGAATAGTACTCTGCTCAATGTAATGGAGAGTTCCCACTGAGTGAGGAGAGGTGTACAAGACGGCATGTCAAGTCTGTGTTGAGTTTGATTCTATATCGGAAAAGCAGCAAGTCAGCAATCCGCTGGGTTGTCACAGCTAAGGAGCTGGGGCCATCAGTGAAGTTTCACAGCTTCCTGAAAGCTGACACTAACGGTGACTGTTACTGAGAGTAGTTCAATTGTCAGGTTCGGAAATGGGATCTGGCAGTTTATGCATTCTTCCAAGAGATGTATTATAATAATACCTACGTGGTACTGGGATTGTACTTTTCAACCCAAGCTGAACCTGTATCACTGTGTGTACCTTATAAAGGGATTACTTAGAAGACATTTTTGTTCACGTTCTTTCCCAAGGATTCTACATGTAGTGCAAACAGAGGACCAGTGAACACGTTTGTAGAGCTATTATAAGCACGTAGTTGCTGTGTTATTTGTAAAAATGAGAACAAAAACAACCCTCAAAAGGACTCTTACTTGAGTGAGAGGCCCCTGAAGTTTTTTAGGTTCAGAGAGAATTTCGCCTGAGTAAAATCTAAAAGAGCAGTCTCTTAACTCATTAATAATTTTTTCTTAGAGAAATTGATTCCTCTTTGTTATCTGATATAGCTACTCTTATTGAGGAACATTTCCCTGAGTCCTGGGTAACCTCCATGTACTGACCAAAGACTTTCCTAAGTTTTGTCACTGATGCGTGAGATCAAACGTATTTGTAAGCAGATGCTTATCAGGGGCAATCTTTGTTGCCTTCTCTACATCACTGAAAATGCCTTATGCTCTTATCAAATAGCATGAGAAAACCCAGGGTATTTCTAGAAAAGTAAAGCATTAAGGTACTGGGCTAACAAAAAATAAAAACCCAATGCATCAGTTTGGTTTCGCATTTTCACATCGGTAATGACATGACTTTAGAACTTCATCTGTGTCATAGTTTGAGTTGCCTGACGGCCCTTGGATTTCTCTGTCGCTAATATTAATAACACTTTGCTCCATAACCCTGACTTCCTCAATACCTTGCATCCACTAACTCTTCTAGGGAGCCCACCATCCCACCAGGAGGTATCAGTGTTTGTGGTGAGATATAAGGCACTCCTTCAAGATAACACAAAACTTCTAAGCAACCTTAAAAATATGCCAAGTTAAAAATACACCAAAAAAATAACTGTGCTCATTTGGTAGATGCAAAAAACAATCACCTTGGATACCAGTATGTAAGTTCCTAACTAGCTAGCCAGCTGGAGATAATGTGGAAGTCCAGCGTTTCAAAGCCCCGACCCTGAAGCTTGGAAGCAGGTGATCTTACACACCGTGGAAACCTATGCATCTGATCTCATTTCAGTTACTATTTCTCACTTACTATTGCCAATGTATGTTTTTTTAAAAAATAAAACCACAAGCTTTCGTATACACCCATGCTTGGGGTCCATGTGGTGGGACTGATTCACCGGGGCTACCCTGGTGGCGTGCGATGTGGTAGACTTGCTTCTCACCTGGCACCTGTGTCTCTCGGCATTTTGGGAATTAAACCACGTTTAGAACCTCAAATAACTTTCTCCCCTTATACTTCTCCTCTATCATAGGTGGTGTTTTAATGAAGCTTTGGTGGATTCGGCACTATTTACACCAATTTTGACAGATCATACTCTTTGAGGAAGGGTCTTCTAATAGGGAAAAAACTCTAAGAGCTGTGTCAATAAAAGGACAACCCAAAGATATGGGACCTTTGCTTCTGCTCCACTGGCTGTTATTTATGCAACAGGAGAGAATAGGTCAGACTGGCTTTTACTAGCTTTCCCCCTTACAGAGGGTCAGTTTTAACCTCTCTGTCCTGTGCCCTGTGTAAAGAGGAGGCCAGTGTTGGGAATAACTGTTCTGGTGGTGACAGTTGTTACAGCTTGTGATGAAATGCCCCCAACACAACCGAGGGCCATAGCCTTCAGGCCCATCCATCCACTTCTGATTCTGATTCCCAGGTCAACTGGGCACTAGATCAGAGAAGGTCACATAAATCTTCAGGAATGCTTCAGCATTTTTATCCCATGCCTCTGTCGGATGGGTGAGGCTTTGTCGTGTCTGTTTTTTAAGAAGTCTCCTGGGGAATCACTGAGGATACCTACTTTCTAGGGAAAAATTTCAAACTCCCCTCGTTCTTTCGTGAAACAATACAAGATCCATCATCCACATGGAAGAGACTTTTCACAACAGCCTTTATTGCCAGCAGACTTACACTGATAATCATTCAAACAGTTAACTATTAAGAAAAATGGTTGTTTCTCTCAACTGTTGAGACAGTTATTCTGTGCTGGTAAAGAGCCTTTCACAGAAATGTAACACGGTGCATTTTATAGAAAACATCTAATTAAATTACCAGTTCCATGCTTTCAAATTGTATTTACAAGTGCAAAACCTCAACACTCACATAGAGTGTCTAAATCAGATATCCAAAGGGTTTGCTACATAATCAGAAATGTGCACACCACTATTCCGATAATAAAGGCACATTTTCCAATAGCCAATCATAACGAGAAGTGCAGAATTACCTAAATTAGGGTGTCATCTTCCACTCCTGGGCCCCTGTGATGACACTGGGGGATTCTATGCAATGCCTCCACCTGGCGATCCCAGAAGCTCTGGGATGCACCAAACATGTCTCACAGGGCCTATGACTGGAGACCACATCATTTCCCAAAGGAGTGAAAAGGAGTCATTGATGGTGGAGAGGGAATCAAAACCAATTTTCACCACCTAGAAGCTCTGGGATGCACCAAACATGTCTCACAGGGCCTATGACTGGAGACCACATCATTTCCCGAAGGAGTGAAAAGGAGTCATTGATGGTGGAGAGGGAATCAAAACCAATTTTCACCACCTATTGTATTGTCAAATCTCCCAAATGTTGGCCAAAAAACTTAGGTTTTATCACTTTTCATCAAACAAGGATTAGAAAACACGAAATCAGTTTTATATTTCCACTCCTCAGGGATGTCTAAAAAGCCAATTCTGTTCCAATATCAAAGTAGAAAGTAGTGAACTGGCAATACGCCGAGACACAGACCGAAAAAGGGATTATTTTTATTTCACAAAAGTTAATGGAAATGAAACAAATTTTTCAAATAATATTAATTTATCGATTAGTATAATTTGCCATCCAAATGCTATTTAGAATGTAATAAATATCTTATTATTACACATTAAACTTACATGGAGTCATCTCCTAATTCTGGGATTTAATTCTGAATACAAAGAAACATTCACATACTTAGTTTTACAATATTCTGGAACAAGTTATATCCAAAAGTCAAATGAACAGAGAACATTCCACTTGCAACTAACATAGGTTGTTACCAAAAAGACAACTCAGTGTTCAGAGAGGGATTTGTCCATTAATCTCTGCTTTGTTAACTGTCACTTGATCTCAGTGTGGGAAACTTTGGTTGTGGTAAAGTTGTCTACGTGCATGTGAATTCATTACCTCCGAAGTCCAAGACCAGAGCATTCACTCCCCAGGTGCATATTTTTCCATTGATAGCATTTCAAGGTGAGTCAGCAAAATAGACACTTAAAATTGTGTAAGATTTCATTTCTGGTATTATCTTCAGTTAGAGTGGTTCTTCCAACCCTGGGGAAGGAGCCTGTGTATTTGGGGCTTAAGGGATTCATTTATCCAGGGCATCTGCGCCAGGTGGGCAGAGAAAGGATGGGAGACCCCTTGCCCTCTAGCATCCCTACTGATGCTAGCGACTCATCTGCCCTGTCCTGAGCCTTCCACGCCCTTTTCTGCTTTTCAGGCTCCGCACCTGACACCTGCTGTGCAAAGCCCTCGCAGAGCCCCCAGACCAACCTGGGTGCCCTACCCTCACGGTCCTGTTGAATTTGAACACACTGCCACCATAAGGCTTGCCATATTCCAACAGCCTTGTGTGTGTGTTTTCTACTAGATTATAAAGCCAGGCAGAAACCTCGAAAGTTCTCTTCTCTAACCCATGAACCCAGGACACGTGTGTGTCGCATATGAACCAATGCACAATGGAGGCCAAGAAGGCTGATTAGAAAAGCCGAGAGCGCGTCCTCTGCCACGCCTCCCTCCTCTTTCCCTGCTGGCCTGCGACAGAGCCACTCTTTCTTTGGTAAATGTGCTGCTGGATGGGCCGGCCCGGTGGCGCACTGGAGAGTGCGCCGCTTGGGAGCGCGGCGGCGCTCCCGTCAAGG